CCCCGTCACACTAGGTAGCCAGTAGTTATGCATGTATTTAGATTTTTCTATATATATTTAAGAGTTTCTTAGCCTTGATTAAGGTACTATCTACTCTTGGAGGTAGCGGATTGCAATCCACTACATTCGTATTGGTTCTTGTAAGGAACGAAATGTCTGTGACCTAAATTACGTTTCCTCAAACGCTAAGCTACGGCAGCCCCGCTGCAGAAAAACTTACTGGATGTAAACTCACCGATAACGGTGTCGCCGACAGCAGCGAGATTTCCCAGAAATCCACACATACAACAATGTCGTGATTACCGGATGCGTCGTTTGAAAAGCCAAAATTAAATCATATTTTATTAGGCATGTCATAACCGGCAGACTGATCGAAGGTGACGATGTATGTGGAAAGAATTTGATATATTGGAACCTTTAACACATGTTTGCACGGACGCGTACCAGCTTATACATGTTGGAGCATCAGAAAAGCGCCCACTAAGGAGTATGTCGTTTCTCTCCTGAGATGGTCACGCAGAGAGGAATGATGTGCCCTGTACAACTTCAGACCCTCTTCACAAGACGCCAATAAACGCTGAATATCATGAGAATCAGAAATAAGCCTTGGAATGAGGTATAGTGGTGCAGGCGTTCAGCTGCGGGTTTCGATGAACTGACAGCTGGAGTCTCAAGAGTTCTTGCTTCCCGAAGCTTTCAGTAGTGCAGCGCAAGTTGTCGCTGTTCCAACGTTGTTCGTTTCGCGGAATAAAGCCACATCACTATTAGGATATGCAAATCTTTGTCGTGGTGCCGCGCAGACGCGCATCCGCCACTAAATTAAGCACACACAATTCATACCTCACCTCGAGAGTATTCTTGGTATCGAAGGCTGAAAGTATTGCTATTCATCGGAAGAGATTTGGTGACGTTTTCGCTGCGCGAAATGGTAAATGATCTGTATAAGTCATAAATGACTTAAAGCCAAGCAAGGGCACCCCGCATATTACGAGCGCACGTTTTATTGCAAGTAGCTCTTAGTTGCGATGTTAGCTGTTGTCTGTACCTTTTCAAGTTGGTGTCTTCAAGGGACATCTCGTCCAGCTCAAGAAGAACATCCACTGCAGGCATAGCCTTGAGGCGGACGTCGACACAACCACGATTACGCGTTCATGCCCACGGAAATCTTAGAGTAAAACATAGCTAATGGCAAAAGGCTGAATGTCACAAATAACATGGCATGGCCGATCTGGTTTTGGAAGAACCTGAATCAGGGCGCGCATGAGCTTTCTTACACATCCCAAAACACCGCCTCTTCTGCCTCGCCACAGACATTTAACATTTCTAGCTAGAACCTGTGTCACGTCGGCGTATTTTGCGCTGTATTTGTTGTAAAGAATGGCCAGACTAAACCACTTCCGTAAGTTCACTTGGTATGAGGTACTGGTCAATCAAAGGAAAAAAATACCAGCGCCAAACCACACGTGTCCATATTGAAAATAGCTTTTCTAAGCAGTTACATTCGCGCATTGCCTGCAAGTTTTTAACGCGGCACTTACATCCGACTTCCGTGCTTCTGCAACCATGGTCGATTATGTCGAATATTTTTGCACACACACGATGTGGCCAGAACAGCCGCACCAACGTAAGTTTTGATGTCGCTGATGCGTGGAATGGTCCTTGTGATAACAATAACCATTTACTTGGCATCACACTCAAAGTATTTGCTACAGATATTGACATCGCTGTCTCTTGACGATACCCATCAAGATACTGAACAGTGCGCAATTTATTACCGCAATCATTTTTTAGGGTTGGTGTCTCCACCGAAATAGTGGCTGCGTTATGTTTTTAATAAACATGCACAATTTTGCCACTTTCTGTCAGACTTTCTCACACCTAGGCGATGCCGAGTAAAAGATCATATATTTTTCATCAGACTTGCTACATGATTTGCACGGAAGAATGCATCTATAATGTCTGAATATTGCCATGAGATGAGAATGGTCTAACGTTGACGAAGTATTCAGTTCCGGGCGTAACACGCGTGGTGGATCGCTTGTCACCACGTCATGATATGACTACAAAAGGATAAACAGACTTGTTGAGGATTGCTACTCCACTCCTCGCACTCAGTTATCTGTGGGTGCGACCTTGATATGATGGGATTTGTATCAATGTTCTGGTATCTCTAATGTCAGAAGGGTACTGTGTACGTGCACCTACCTAATCTGCTACTAATGTCGACCAAACTTCAACACCAAAGTGCAATATTTTCACTCATTCGTTGTATTTCCTACACACTCATCTGGGCGTAGGATATTGAGATGTGTGACGATGTGCCTACGAATGTCTCTCTCGGTTATTGCATTTCGCGTCGGAAAAATGTTCGAAGGATAGACAAGAATAGTCAAGAGTAATAGCGTCGCTTGTTATCAGACTTGTAAGATTGTTGTTCAGGTCTAAAATAATTTTATTTTCATGATCAGCGATTCAGATAGTGATTACCTCTGGAAGTGGAAAGCACACCGGGTTCTCACACGACATTCATCGAATTTAGGTGAGCGAATGAACCAGGGGGCAGCACCAACTTCTTTCGAGATCGCAACACGCTCTCCGAATTGATTTTTTCTAGCAAAAGACGAAATTGCTCTACCTCGCGATCAATTTCATCTTCTTCTGGGCAGCGTACCTCCGTGTCATAATCACAAGTTTCGTCTGTTAATATCAAAGAAGGTTGCTGTTTAGCGAGAGACTTATACGTGGGGGATACTGAAATTTGCGACTGAGAGGTTGTTTCTCGAGGGTTTTCTTTCTCTACCGCTTTCGAGATGGCGGCCTCTTTTTTGCGTCGTTTCTTTTCCTTTTTTCCTTTCTTTTTTCGGCTTGTGGAGGAGGATTTCTGACTCGCGTTAAGATCTGCGAGCTCATCACGAAGCAATTCGGCCTGAACGGCAAGCGAGTGTTGCAATGCCTCTTGATAAGCGTCTTCTAGCTGTTGTAATGCACAATGACTTAGAGCTTGTCATGTTTATACCATTATACGAACAAAGCTCAAGATCAAACGCACCTGTTCTCTAAATTTGATGGCAAGCACTTCTAGTAAATATTCCTGAGCCAAATGCGGAGTGTTTGCACCAGGACATGTGTCATCAACATCGTCGTTATCGTCGCTGTTTATGCTGTCTTCATCATCAAAACCGGATCGATAAGGTGAGACATAGCTGAATTGCTCACCACAGCGAATCAGATCTATAATAAAATCCGTGTGATCTTCCCGAATAATAATAAAGCGTTCTTCTCTTTGAATTAGCCGCATCAATTCATCTTCCTGTCGCTTACCAACTTCAAGTGCTGCTAAGTACTCATCCGACACCATACTGCTCTTACCAGTAGTACCGTGTCGTTCTTCACGTTCAAGCTCATATTTAAACACCAATTCCTCTTCTAACACCATGTCCTCTTCCTCTGACTCATCTCCTAAATCTGCCTCATCGTCACCTTCGTCATCGTCATCATCATCATTTTCTTCATCATTCAAGAATGGCGGAAAGACGCTAAAAACGTCCTGCAGCGAGCGACTTCCCGAGCGCTTCCGCTCATGGTCTTCCCACTCTGCAACAACGTTATCATGACACTCGCAGCACAAATTCTGACCGACAAGAAATTGATCTAGCGCCGTCAAATACGATTCACGGCGAATTCGCAACAACCTTCGTTTGGTGACAAGTGCAAGTTCCCTCCAAAAATTGATTAGCTCCTCGCGTGTGTAACTTTTTGAGCCGGTAACTCCTGGTACACTATTGGTGCTACTCGTAGAGCCCGAGGAAATGTTCTGCGCAGCGGAACTTGAGCGCTCATTGCCTGTCATAAAATGGCTGCTGTACTCACGCCCAAAGTCATTCTCGGTTGGCCATGGGTTGCTATCATATAATATACCAACACAGAGACTGAGCAAGTGGGCGGCTAAGCTGCACTTCAAGGTATACAGTCATTACCGGTACTTGCGCGCCAACATGAAGCCCGATGATCGACGCAATATGTGATGGCGGTGTGGCATTACTTCAGAGTTAGCGCTTGTTGCTTTAGTGTCGCGGTGAACTTGCGTCGAAGTCTTGGGGCCTCGGCGGGTCATTTGGGGCTAATTGATTTTGATACTTTGCACAATTTTTGTTCCTATCTTTTTTGAACTATAGTTGTTTTCTCCAACATGTCGTCATTGGCGGCTACTCAGGCGGACGGCTACTACTATCCGGCAGAATGGCGACCTGAACATGGCTCACTCAACTCGTATCATGGTTCCCATCCCTTAGGTAAACGTGCTAAACATCTGGCGAGTGATGGCGTGTTAGTTGTGCGCTTTGAGATGCCGTATAGCGTCTGGTGTACGCACTGTAGCTCACACATTGGGCGAGGTGTTCGCTTTAATGCCCGCAAAAAACAGGCAGGTCGCTACTTTTCGACTGTAATCTGGGAGTTTAGTTTGAAGTGCCCGAGCTGTAGTGGTGAGATGATAATCAAGACGGATCCTAAGGCGCGCGATTACGAGCTTGTGAGTGGTGTGAAGCAGAAGGCAGATATGAAAGTTGCTGGCGATATGCAGACGGAGAAACTCAATGAACCTGAAATTGCCGCCAGGCTGCAACAAGATCCATTTTTTCAATTAGAGCATGAAAATGAAGACAAGCTTGTAGCCAAGAAGCGGTCGCAAGGGCTCGTGGATCTCATGTGTTTACAGGACGCAGAGTTCAAGGACGATTACGCTAGCAACTCCATTTTAAGAACGCAACTAAGATTAAAAAAGAAGCAGCACAAGATTAGAGAAAAGGAGGCTAAGCGGTTGGGTCTTGGCATTCCGCTGCTTGATGAGCACCCAGACGATGTGCTAGCGTCGAAAGTAGTCGTCTTTAAGAATAATTTGGAGAAGCGGTACAGGACAAATGGTAAATTAAAGCCGCGATTTAGCAGCTCGAAAAAGCCCGTTACATCTGTAAGTGCAGACCCATTCCAGCACTTTGGTGACTCGGTTGGGTCTCATCTGCAGCGGCTTAGAGCTGTCAAGCGAGCTGCCAAGAAGCGATATACACCAGCGTGATATTTTCTTTAATGCGGTGAGTAGCGTGTTAGCGTTAAATAACAATAGATAGCGACACATACTTTTCATAATATCAAGATTGTTGGCATAAAGCGAGCGAGGTCTCACTCTAAGGCAGCACACAAACGCGGTACGTCATTACACAAAACGGCAAGGGATTTAAAAGCCCGGTCCTCATCACCCTGCCACACTTCCAAACACTCCTCAGCTGTAACCACCATGTCGCTCGAGTAATTTGAATCTTCACTGTAGGTACAATACGCCAGCAATATGCGCACAATGCTTCTCTTCTTACTATCACTAGCCTCAGTAGCGTATGTGTCCACGTCCTTAATTATATTCTCAAAATTGTCGTGTTTGCCTTCTGAGATGAAGTCCTCAACATGCATTGAAGTATCGGAGATACTCGAAGCTAGTTGTAAAAGGTGTGCACTCTCGCTTGTCACTTGGTTGTCATCAACGTAAAAGTCCTGATCATCATCCAGATTGGGCAGCAATTCGTACTCACTTTCTAGGTCACTCAATTGTTCCAAGTCTTCCGTTTCTTCTACTGTACAACTCTCCCCGTCCTCTGGCGTTCCCCTAATTTCTGCGTCTATTGGTACTTCTACATTTGGTTCGAAGGTCTCAGATTCCACCTTTGCGCTGTGTTGCAGCTCTCGAAGCGTTTTTGACGGTCGTGGGGTCGTCTCGAACACCGCGTTGAATTCGTCGAATATATCGTCGTAGTCTTGCGGCAGCAACGTCATCTGTGGACTTGCTCCTGCAACAAACTTCTTAGCAATGAACACGAGCGATGTAATGAGCGCAACTCTTGCGCGGGCTGTAGCAGCCATCATCCAACACTTCATCACAGCGGCGGTTAGCGCCATCTTCGAAGAGATGGCGTGCAGGAACGCCGCCTGTTGTTTAGCACACTGTTGCTGCAGGGGTGATCCACGACGTTGGTGTCCCCGCAACTCTTTTATCTGTGCTTTCACAATGGCATACACAGCCTCGGAGCGTCTGTGTGCGTGACAAACCGACGATACGAAGAAATTGCCCATACCTAGGATAAAGGACCAGTGTTGATCTGGTACTTGAAGATCAAATTGTTTCAACATTGATCTTTATCATAAAGTTTTATTCCTGGCATGTGATCCATTTAGACAGGGGTATATCACTAGGAGAACATATTGGTATGGTGTGTGAAAGCGTTACTTTATTGCATTTCGAGGTATTACCAGGACGGAGGAGAGTGATAAAACTTGGCTCGGAAGAGATTCGTAGGACACATGAATTGTAGGGATATGCAATGTGTACTTGTTATTAATCTCCATTTTACACATTTGGAGCTAGCGCAAATCCCAAACATACTACAAAATTCGCACTGATAACAAAGAAGTGGAATTATGAGGACAATAGGACCACGGTACTGGTGGAGGCATCGAAAATTCCAAAATCGGGTGCAATATCCATGCGTCGTCCGTAAAACACTCAATAAAGTGTTAGAGACCTTGCTTTCTGTGAAAATTAATGGCTCAGCAGTTGTCTGGTCCTTGTTGCAGCGGGGCTACCGTGGCTCTTTGCTTAGAGGAAGCCAAGCTAAGGTCACCGACCTTACGTTCTTTACAAGAACCAGTACGAGTGTAGCGGATCGCAATCCGCTACCTCCAAGTACTTAATAACTTGACCAAGATAAATTGTATTCAATTAACCGTGCGTTGGTTAACGAGTACCAGTTATCCAAGGAGGTTCTACAATATTCGAGAAGAAGATTACCGAAACCAAGAAGATGACATTAGAGAACACACTCATTGGATAGGAACACATGCATGTTGGCCAATAGTATTGCATATTACGTACACGTAGCATTAGAACTGGATGTAAATTCTCTGAACCAGGATTCTAACGCTAAACAAAGATCACTCTTGAACTTGCCGCCTAGTGCTCAGGTCACATTTGGTAGCACTTGTTGGTCGACTATTGTCGTTGGTTGATCACACTATCCCAGTCCACGTTCCAAACAAACGGCGTCCGATCCAAGACTCCAGGCTCAAGACTCCAGACCAAGGCTGGATCAGCACACAAGCAAGCCACTTGAGAAAGTGGTCAGTGCCTGAGGGGAAATTGCTTGTAGATCCTTCGGTCCTGAACACCTAGTTGTGTTGGCTGTAATTCAAGCGACAGAGAGAGATAAACCGATTTTCCAGTAATCAACGACCATCAGTGCGGAGGACCTGATGAGATGCATGACGAGAGCGATGGAGCAAATGGCGACAAGTTGGCAGCAGGCGCTGAGTCAACAGCAATAGTCGATGGAAAGAGCGATGGAGAAACAGCGAGAAGACATGATGCGGCAGATGGAAGGCATGCAAGACGCAATTATGAGAGTGCATGCGAGTCAAGAAGAGCTCAGGGAATATCAAACGAGCGTGATGTTGAGTCAGTTGAATGAAGACATTTGACGCGTGAAGAGTGAAGCTGTCCAAAAGGAGAGCGCTACACAGGAGAGAGGAAGAGCACCCCAGGTGATTGTTTCAGGGGATGGCAGAGCGGAAAGATTGTCCATGCCTCAGTTTTCGGAAGACCCGATGGAAGAGTGCACACATTTCTGTTTCAAGTAAAGAACTATCTGCGTGCAACGCTGATCGACGAGTACGCGAGAGGGAACCAACGAAGGATCTTGGCGATGGTCGTGGACAACTTGAGAAAAGGCGCATTGGCTTGGTACCATGATATGTGTGCAAGCGGAGTCTCAAGAAATTGAAAGCAGCATTGTACGCTCAGTTTGTGCCAAGAGGATACCAGAATGCCCTGCGCGGGCAGTTGCAACAGTTGGCGAAGGACGTGCGGCGGATGAACTTCGACAAGCACTTTGTGAAGTATCGGACGATCATGGTGCAGATCCAAGAAATGATCGAGTTGGATCGACAAGATGTGTTTATTTTGGGTCCGAAGGACCAGACTCGGAAGATGGTGCAGTTCACAAGGTGTACAAATTTGAAGGAAACTATAGCCGTTGCGTAGGCGTATGAAGATGCCTACTCCCCACAGCATGGAGGTCGAGAGGGACACAAGAAGCCTCCGAGAATGCATCGAATTCACGTTGGTGTATTGAACGACGATAGCAGTCAAGACATGAAGATTTGTAATGCGATAATCGGAAAGAAGCAGTGATACGAGCAGAATCTGTCTTTCACAAGAAACCTGGTCACAAATCGCGAGGTTGTTATCAGAACACGAGAAGATATCATGAAAGAGATCATGGAAGAGATCACAGCAAGAAGTATGGAAAGAATAGCAGAGGACTGCAGCACAGAAGGAATGTGGTGAAAGCGCATCACGTGGAAATGTATGAATACAATGGTAAAAATGATTCCTCTCAACTGGGCAAGGCACAAGCAACCAGCATGCGGATCAACTAGTCAGAAATGGTGTTGACGAGAATGAGTGCCGACGAGCTGATTGTGAGGAAGATTTTGTGTGACGGAAAGCAAATCAGTTTATTGATCGATTCCGGAGCCCTTCCAATCTCATTCGTTCAGGATCGAGATCAAGCTGAGATCGGGAGCAAAGCCGAGAAATCGACAACCGTTTCGACTGTCGCACGTCAAGCGACAGGCACTGCAGAAGTTCGTAGACAGTCCGCTGAAGAAGAAGTGGATCGAGTTGTCCGAGTCGCCGTGAGTATCCAACATGTTTGGCGTGCCCAAAGATCCTGTGACAAACAATTTTCCTTCGCGGGTAGATTGGCTGCGATCAGAAGACCCGAATGCTCCCATAGATGGGTCCAGGACTTTCGGTACGTGACAATGCGAGCGAGATACCAAAGTCCCGCTACCGATGATCAACGAGCTGTTTGACCAGATGTAGGGATGTTCGACGTTGTCGACAATCGATTTGCAATCCGGATACCATCAGATGCCCGCATGCGGATCAACTAGTCAGAAGTATATTGACGAGAATGAATGCCGACGAGCTGATTGTGAAAAAGATTTTGTGTGACGGAAAGCAAATCAGTATATTGATCGATTCCGGAGCCCTTCCAAACTCATCCGTTCAGGATCAAGATCAAGCTAGACCCGTAACAAAGCCGAGCAATCGACAACCGTTTCGACTGTCGCACGTCGAGCGACAGGCACTGCAAACGTTCGTGGACAGTCCGCTGAAGAAGAAGTGGATCGAGTTGTCCGAGTCGCCGTGGGTATCCAACATGTTTGGCGTGCCCAAAAAGGATCCTGCGACAAACAGTTTTCCTTCGCGGGTAGATTGGCTGCGATCAGAAAACCCGAATGCCCCCATTGGATAAGTCCAGGACTTTCGGTACGTGATAATGCCTGTGAGATACCAAAGATCCCGCTACCGATGATCAACGAGCTGTTTGGCCAGATGCAGGGATGTTCGACGTTGTCGACAATCGATTTGCAATCGGGATACGATAGCTCGAGAAAGTACACCGCATTCCATGCCTCTCCGGAAATATTCCGCTGATAAGTGGCACCCTTGGACATGCTAGAATGTCAGGCAGGCACATATATCCGACTGATGAGATCTATCTTTTATCATTTGAGATTCGTTGTCGTGTACCTCGATGACATTTGCGTGTTCAGTCGGACAAGAGAGCTGCATCGCGAGTATTTGAGATCAGTGTTCGAGTTGCTGCGAGAGAACGAGCTGTATGCAAATCGTGAAAAGAGTCAGTTCGGACAGAGCGAGATCAAATTCCTGGGTCACATCGTCAACGGCAAAGGAGTTCACATGGATCCATTTAAGGTGCAGGCAATCCAAGCGTGGCCGGCACCGACGAGTACAAAGGAATTGCAGAATTTCTTGGGACTCGCGGGCTGTTATCGACCGTTCATCCCGTCCTACGCAGATATTGTGTTGCCTATCAGCGAGTTACTCAAGTCGAGCAAGGAATGAGGATGGAGGGATCACCATCAACACGCGTTTCACAAGATTAAACTTGCGTTGCAACAACACTAGTGCTGCGACTACCAGAGGTCTAAAGGACGTTAATGGTTTCAACGGATGCGTCTGGAACTAGCGTGGGAGGAGTGCTGTCGCAAGAGTTAGAAGGAAACGATCTACTGATTGCGTTCTACAGCAAGAAGCTGAGCGACATAGAACAGAGATGGCAAGCGCATGATCAAGAGCTGTACGCCATCAAGTTGTGTATTGCAAATGGAGACTGTATCTGCACGGAACCAAGTTCGTTGTTTTCACGGACATTTTAGCATGCAAGTGGCTGAAGTCAAGACCGCAAGTGTTAGAAAGACTGGCAAGATGGCTAGACTTCTTTGCAGAGTGCGAATTTGAGCTGATTCATCGACCTGGCAATAAGAATGCAGTCGCAGATGCCTTGTCAAGACAAGAAATCAATTTGCCATGCATCCAGATGAGGAAGTTCAAAGACACACTCAACTCGGTGTCGAGGAGAGACGCGAGCTTAATATATGGATTGCAGAGCCTACCAATGTAAAAAGGATACAAAGAAAACAAAGAAGAGAAGAGAATGGTGCTCGAGGTGAACAATTATCACGCAGAGTTGGAGAAGAGCTCGCGAGAAAAGTTGAGGCGAGCATACAAGGAGGATGAGTTCAATACCAAAAATGGAAGGCAGAGGAGACACGACCAACTCCACAGTGGAAGATGGGCTGAATTTCGAGAGCTGAAGCTGGTAATACTGAACAATCATCACGACGCACCGACAGTAGCGCACCCAGGCATCGAGCGAACCGCCAACGCTGTCAAGATGCGGTTCTGGTGGGAGAGCATGCTTGAAGACATGAAGACGTATGTGCGAACGTCTAAGACGTGCATTTGGTACAATACCTCGAGCCAGAAGAAGCAAGGAATGATGCAACCGATGCGATTCCAGATAGGTGTTGGGATTCGGTCAGCATGTACTTCATCACCGGACTGCCAGAGTCCGAGGGATGCGAATCGATACTCGTAGTGGTTGGCAGACTATCCAAGGAAGCTGTTTACATTCCAACCAAGCAGACAGTAACAGCTCACGAAATAGCCAAATTGGTCTTCAATCATGTGGTGAGATACTTTGGATTGCCAAAGCAGATCATCTCAGATAGAAACCCAACGTTCGTGTCAACATTTTGGAGAGGAATCTTGGACAGGATGGGCGCCAAACTATCGATGACATGGCTCACCGAGCGCAAGCCGACAGACAAACGGAGAGACAGAATCGAACGCTGGAAGACTCCCTGCGTTATCTCGTGTCGTATCACGGCAACGATTGAAAGGAGTGGTTGACGACCATAGAGTATGTGCACGCAGCTCCGACATCGTCATCCACCGGGTTCAGTCCCTTCGAAGTGGATACGGGACAAACACCACGAGATCCGATGGGCATCTCGGAGAGTGCAAACGAGGTGCCTAGCAGATTCACAATAAGGAGGCAAGACGTCGTCTAATTAGCGCAGCAATCGCTCCAAGCATCTCAGGAGCAGCAGAAACGATACTACGATCGCAAGCGACGCAACGAGAGCTTTGAGGCTGGGGAATGGGTGCTACTCAACTCGAAGAACATCACCATTCATCACGCTGTGCGAGATCATAACAACAGCAGCGAAAAAGGTTTAGCCAGATACATTGGACCATTCAAGATTCTCGATAAGCTGTCGGACCTCGTGTGCCGATTAAAGTTGCCAGAATCCATGCGATTCATGAACGGAGTGTTCAACGTGGAGCAAAACAGAAGAATTGTCCAGGCAATCCAAGCGCATTCGAAGGAAGACCGCAGCAAAAGAGCACACCTGTTGTGGTACAGGAAAACGAACTTACATACGCCATCAAAGCCCTACGGAAGATGAAGACAGTCAAAGGGAGACGGCAGTTTCTAGTGAAATGGGCAGGCTATCCAGAAGACGAGAACACGTAGGAGAGCGAGCAAAACACTCGCCATGTGTCACATTGGAAGTCGCTGTTGAAAGACTTGAAGGCAAGGAATCAACAACTAAGGCGGGAGAATGTAACCAATTAACCGTGCGTTGGTTAACGAGTACCAGTTATCCAAGAAGGTTCTAGAATATTCGAGAGATGAAGATTACCGAAACCAAGAAGGATATTCATTAGATAGGAACACATCCATGTTAGCCAATAGTATTGCAAATTATGTACACGTAGCATTAGAACTGGATGTAAGTTCTCGGAAACAGAATTCTAACGCTAAACAAAGATCACTCTTGAACTTGCCGCCTAGTGCTCAGGTCACACAATGAACTTTTCTGATCGAACTTAAGACTGCATTTAATTGATTCAGTTGCGGCAGAGCCGCCAATATCTAAAACCTTAGGTTTTCTCTAATTAATATATTAATAGCTTACTACTATAGTAAAACCATAGTACTGTACTATGCATTACTACTGGTAATCCTGCCACGTAGTGATTTTTTGTTACAGCGTTACTACACCACTGTGTGATCACACCAACTTGTGTAATCCACACATATGTACGGTCACACCATCTTGTGCGCCGCCCTTCAATACTAGGGTACGTGTAACCCCACTACACTTGTCCTTCATTCGCGATGCGACCCCATCCTAGCTCTGACGTGACTTAGGCACTACGATCTCCGGCGCGGAAAGGCTACCGCCATGGAAAAATTGTGCATGAATATCATACACTTACAACAGCGATTATTCCGTGCAACCATCGATTTCTTCTTAGAAATCGATGGTTACACGGAATAATCGCTGTAAAATAAAACGATCAGTTTGTTTAGTGCCTTTGGCCGAGTTGATAATTAAGTGCGAAACAGTGGCGATTCTTCAATTGTGGTGGTAACTCCGAGCGAGATTGTTTAGGAGTGATTTAATTACACTGTAGTGGCGTTCAACTGTCTGGTGAGGCGGCTATTCGGGCCGACCCGTCGATGCACATACCGATTTTCAGCGAAATGTTGGCTCATAGGCTTGCAGAGTACTGAGATGTGGATATTAACAGCATGCATTTGCGAACAGTGCTTGAGAAAGCGCTGCAATAAGCTCTTTACTGAGATATATAAGTGGTTTTGAAGCGTTGCTATCTCTATTTTGCGGGCGCATCATTCGAAACATGTTTTCTGCGTGGATGGAGCGAAGATCAAGGTCGACGTGGATTTGCCAGCGTCGCTGTTCTGAAAGAATTCAACAAAGTGATCTGGCATGTCTAACTTATTGTACTGAAAGTAAGTTTACTGTGATATGGCAGATTCCCCTTGCTTTCTTATTGCGGAGGAATGCAATTGTGGTGAAACGAGAGCCCTTAAAGCTGTGTAAGCAAGCATTATGTGTACTTATGTTTTTTGCTTCATTTTTGGCTTTTACAAATTCGGATCAGCCACCTGTGATCTCAAGCTTCAATGATAATAGGATGTGATATTCTTTGGCAAGGTTTCAATGGGTAAAACTCGTCATCGCTTTATGCCTTGCCCGCTAAAAGCGGTAGAGAAGAGCTTCTTCTTCTTAGCACGGAGCTACTAGCTATGAATTATGATATTATTAAGATCAAAGTACGCTAAGCCAAATGAAACAAAAACGGATCATGTGTCGTTGCAAACTGCGACGTTGTCACCACATCTCACACAGAAAATGACAAAATGGTCATTGCTTCAAATCCAGTTTAGCTTCGGGGCAAAAATCAAGCTCGGTCAACTTGAATGTGGAGCCGGATGAATTTGCGTCGCCCAGACCATGAACTGATTCATATCACGATTGCGATGCATCAGAAGGTGATACGAACAGCGAAAGTGACAGATGTACACATAGTTTACAACTTTGGGCCACTTAACCAAAGCGTCTTGACTGCAGATTTACGAGACTCAAGACTTGATAAATGTAATGGACACACACTCAGCCATTACATGACGGTACATCTATGTACCTTCTGTATGCTTTGTGGGAATTCATAGAAGAAGATTACAGAATGGTATTGCCAAATGTATACGTGACATCTTATATGAAGTCACTGACATTTTGTGTGATACAGAATGCTGGTTCTTGCTTGGGGATCCTTACTGGTGATGAGACCGATATGACTCTGTCTTTTAAAATGGGTGGCGTAAGCCGTTTCATTCTAATGAATACTCTCTATAACGGGTCGCACAAGATGGTCTGTTCGCATAAATGTGTTGTGCATAAGATGGTGTGACCACAAAATGGTGTAGCAACACAATGGTGTGGCTACACTCAAACAACAAGGCAGCACGTGGCTGGAACAGCCAGTAGTTATACATTTTGATTAGGTTTTACTATATTGATCGGAAAACCTCTAGATTTAGATATAGGCGGCTTTGCCACAGACAAAACCGAGAAATATAGCTTACATTCTAAACGGAAGCGCTAGTTAGCACTCTTGGAGTAAGCGAATTGCGATTCGCTACACTCTCGTTGGTTCTGAGTAGAGAAGAACGAAGGTCGTCGTCCTTAACTAAGCTTAGTCTAGGCGAAAGAGCTACAGCAGCTCCGTTGGACTCTCCACGAAAGGTATACTTCAAGCTTTCGAGGTTCAATTTCCGTACATCCAAGATCTTGTATCATTTGGAGCTGAGTTTCAATCTCAGTACACCCTTGACGTATAAATCAGAAACCCAAGATTCTATTGGTGAAACCTCTAGGAGCCCTTGGAACCATAACTCACTTAATTCAGTTGCGAGCTTACCTTTCAGTTATTGAGTCGTCCTTCTTTCCTCTAAGTCGGGGCTGTCCTTCTCCCGCCAAGTCGGGAATCGCATGCTCGTCGTACAAGCGTGTGTGTTGTGTTTGAGAGACTGTTTGTGAGCAGCGCCCTCATACGACAAAGTGTTATAAACATGCGCATGTTTGAATGGCGTTTGTTTAAAGTCAAAGTGACAATATACAAAGTGGAATCCCAAGGCTTGTGCTGATGAACTTATTAGCTTTGTAGAAGTATTATTAAAAGCTTATTGTCTGGTTGACACCGAGGTGAGACAAGTCGTGAATATATGTGATGTCAGTCTTGATGAGCCTTTTTCTGCACTCATGTCACGATTATTGATAGCCGGCATCAGCGACCATGTCAAAATATACAAAAAATCAAGATAGTGGGAGATTGATATTGCGCTCGATCATAAGCCGTGAAGAGATTACCCGATCTTATCATCGTTACAAAGATAGTCTCTTTGATAAAAATGCCTCCTACATCAGTGAGTGGTGGTTTAAGCGACAGCTGGTTGAGCAAGCGACATATTCCTAAAAAGATGGACATGTAACGAATATTGCTGAGGAATTTCTTTAGGCCCTCCGTTTTTATGTGCTCTTGTGCCCATACGGCAGCGGTGTGGCAGAACCAACAACATGTCAAGATGTTGGTACAAGTAGAAAGTCAAAATTGCGCGGAGCTTGGTTGATATATCTTCGTGGTGTATCTGAACTTGCAATATTTCCAACAGGATTATAACTTAGTATTTTTGCTCGCACAGCCGACGTTTCAGTTAAAACGTTTTCCGGCTATTGTCATGGCTTTATCCGGCTTTTGTCATGACTTCAAACAGCAATTTGGCCTTGAAGGTTTTGTCTGTCGTCGGTCACATGGTACTTTGAATAATTATCGGCCTGGCTACCTGTCTTTTAGAACACCTGATGTGGTGTCATTCTTAGGCATTCAAACAGGAAAATGTTGATAGCCTTGTACCGCATTGAGCAGAATTCGATATTGACTTTTATCTGGAACTAGTTAGTAAATTTATAGTCGTAGTCAGGCTTTGCGCGTGTGATTGCAGCCTCTTACAAGATTGTGCGCACTATCGGTATTATGATATAGCCTAAAATCCGATTCTATGCATTCAGTGCATAGGTGCTGCTTCTGGTGCAATTTAACAAATAATGTGATAATGACAGCTCGGATGAGATGATTGCATAAGCCACGATAAAACTCGCGAAACGCTTTGACTGAATAAGTAGGAGTAATTGAGTGTTTCTTAGGGATCGAGCTGGGAAACAAGGTCAACGGCATAGTTTAAGTGTTACGTAGATGATACATTCGACATATTGGCATTGAGAGCTAATCGCTGTAATATTCTCAAAGTATTTGAGCGCTCAGTGTACTTCACAGGCTAATGCAGCCAAGATCAATGCTTCGCATTGTGAAGCAGACAATTTTTCAATGCACTTAATAAAGCCATACGAAAATGAAGTTTTGCAGAAGCCAAACTGTTGATAACGCTGGTTTAAAACTTCTTCTGGTTATGCATCCATATTGGTGAGCACTCCTCTCGGCTGAAGATCGAAGTAATCAAGCGTGTTATTCTCAAAAGGTAAAGTAGAATATAGTGCGTTATATCTGGCAGCTCAAAAACGGGAAGTGAGTCCATCGTTCACAAAGTAAATATTAACCAAAGCAGGTGACCAGATCACACAGCTCAAGATTCGTAAAGACAATCAATCTTGCAGTTAGAAGACTAATTGCCCAGTCGACCATAGTTGCACAAAGCATGCTGGCACCATTAATTATCGCATTCGTGACGAAGTGAAGCGTAGGAAGGGTTAGCTCGAATGCTGGGAGACTTATGAATGCTGGGTAAAAATCTAGACAGAAGATTGTCCAAGGTCATACTACGTAAGTCGCATAGCGGCAGTTGATCTTCGTCTGTGCTTGCATTCAGTACAGTATTTATATCGCATAATGATGGCAAGTATGAGCTTGGTTGGCGATGCGACATAGTTGAAATGTTGCCGTAGTCATGAAGCTAAGAGTCCACAGATTTAGTGAGTGGCTTGATACGTCCAGTCGCCGTTTTGTTTATCAAAATCGCCGTGCACAAAACTATCTCAACTGCCATTGCGTGTTGTGCCAAGTAAGTATATTAGAGTATCGTTCTACTCATACTATCCAACATTAGCCCTGCACTCACAGTAAATCGACTAAGTATTAGATAGTGATATAAATTCTGGTCAATGGGTATGACCAACTGCAGTAGAGAGTCTACGATAATCTCCTGTATATGAAGTTCCGAGAGGGTCGACTTATTTTTATATGCTGACTTCAGAATCAATAATGCTCAACCGTCTGGTCATGCAGCTATCCAGGCCTCATAGTGCATCTGACGACTTTGTTTCGACGATACGTTCGTCTTTCCTTGTACGGAGCACGGATAATCAAACGATAATGTTCATCTATACTGAAGACTTTCGAGCGATGCTCAAGTGTGTGAGCGTAATTTCTATTTTTCCAATGTCGACAAAGGTGTCCGTTAGTTAGACCTAATATAGTTAAGCATGACTTTTGGGCGGACCCTGTAACAAGAAGAATGGCCAGTGAGTCTGTATCAATGCAATGTGCAATGTGATTTGGCTGGCCAGCTGGCTATTTGCATATGTATCCTGTTTATAATGCGAATACGACATATCCCTTCATCTATCTTCTTAAGATGCGGCCTTTTATTCTGGAGCGAGATAAAAGATGCGACTTTGAGCACTTGAGATCCTATATCTGTCTGGTGATTTCTAGTGTTTGGTGGCTTTCAGTCTGTGCGGTTCGCTGTGCGTTTCAGGCTGATGCCAAAGATCATTTTCCAATAAAAATGGCTGATCAAATGTGGCAGAGAAGACCTATCATATTCATAACAAGGTACTACCTGTAAACAAGTCTGCAATTGTCCAGTTTAGTGTACACTTCTCGGCTCATAGCCATTTATGATGTGTGTGATCAGCGCGTCATTACACACGACGACATCGTCAGATCAGTATGATAAACGTAGCTATCATTCATAGCATAGCAAACTGTCGAGGTTTGGTCAGCTTGACATGCAGGCGGGCGTGCTTCTGCGTTGCTCAGATAATTAAGTGTAACACTTCGTAATAGTGACGTAGTGCATTGACGAAACTATGTTTACGGCTTGAGTATCAGACGCACCTTGTGTGGTACTAAGCAGGTTTTATGAGGCAAGGCGCCTAATCTTTGTCTTTGCAAGCATTTTACACTCTCAGTTTTCTTGCACGTACTTTATACATAGCTTGTGATGAGATTACAACGATGAAATTAAAGAAAGTATTACGTACGAGGCGTATGATATCAGAACGTTGGTTCAAAAAGATGTACGGTTTACGGAGCATTATGAGCTGTTGGGTCAAGGTGAATAAAACGGTAGCCTCTTAAGTGAGAACGTGTACATCATGTCAAAGAAATAAAAACACTCACTATGTGCTTTGACGCGAGTGAGCCATTCTGCTCAGATGACCACAAATGCCACAATGTCGGTATGATTGGATGCGTCACTCGAAAGACCGAAAGTAAGGCCTATACAAACCGGCAGCCGACACTCTATCGAAGCCGGTAAAGTTGACATATGTGACGATGCATGCGGCAAGGGTTTGGCCAATTAGTACGTTTCACACATGTGCACACACTCACTTATCATCATATATATGTTGGGACACCAGCGCGCACCGATCACTAAAAGAATGCCGTTTCTTAGGCCATCATGAGAGGTATCGTATGTCCTGTACAGTATTCTGTACTTCAGGTGCTCATTGCAAGACACCAATACACGCTTAAATTTGATGTGAGTCAGACATGAGCCTTGGATAAAAGCCCAGCTGTGCAGGCGCGCATTCGAGCGCTTTTTTACAGCGACACCGGGGATCTCAACTACTTTCTCCTTACAAAACTTTCAGTGGTGCAGCACATGCTGCTGCTGGTCCGTATACTGCATGCACGCGCCATCTTGAGTCAGGTCAGCACAAAAAGATACAGAAAACAACGAAAGCTAAGTTCAGTGAAGAGTGCGCTCGTAAAGTGCAGGGTGCTCTTGTTTGGCTTTAAGTCGTTTGTGATCGATACAGATCTTGCACCGTTTTACGCAGCGAAAATGCCACCAAATCTCTTACAAAAAATCTGCGCAACGCTAATCTTTCGTTACTATGTATACTTTTGAGGTCAAATACGAAATGTTTATGTTTGGTGTGGTGATGGATGCGCTATTGCGTTACCTCGCTACAAACTTTTGCATATCACAATGGTGACGTTGCATTATTACGTGATGCGAACACATTGGCATTTTTCGAGAGGAATGCATAGCCTATGGCAATCGGCATAAACGTCACAAACGACGTGTCATTGCCGATCTGAATTTGAAAGAGCCAATATCGATCCGCACACGAGGCTTTCTTTCACAGCATTGTATACCGCCTCTTCTACTGCAACCCAGCACAATTGAATATTTGCCTGGAGATGACTGGTAAGAATCTGTGCCATGTTGGCATATTTTGCACTGTGACTTTCGAGAAAATGTTCAGGCTAAGCCACTTCCGCAAGTCCCTTCTGGGCAGAGGCCTGGCCGATCAAAGGAGATAATATCGGCACGAAACCACAGGTGTCCATATTTAGTATATTTTATGTGAGCGCTTACGCTCGAGCATTGTTTTAAAGTGTTTGATATGGCACTTCACACCCGAGTCTTCTTACTCTGCATGGTCACATATGTCAAACATTTTTTGCACAAACGCAAGGTTGCCTGAACAGCCGCACCACCTTAGGATTAAATGAAGCTAGTGCATTAAATAGTCCTCGTGGTAAAGGTAACAGATCGTCACACTCAGAACGCTCACCGCAGGGATCGACATTGCCGACTCTTGATGCTACCTGGTCAAAGTCACTGAAACAGGCGCAATCAACCATGCCGTTCTGCAACACATCCTTCCTACGAATCAGCGTCCGCGCCGAGATAGCAGCTGCATTCAGCTTACTAAAAACATGCACAAATCGCCGCTTACTATCAGGCTTTCTCACTCGTAGAGGCGACGCCAAGTAGAGAATCACGATCTCCTTCTTCAGAATCGCGAGTTGGTTTGTACGGACGAAAACGGTTTTGAGGTCAAAATTCTGCCGTGTGAGGAATTAACATGGGAATGGTGTGATGTTGACGCAGTATTTGGTTTTGGGTGCAAGAGGCGTGACGATTCGTTTGTTCTAACGTCGTGATATTAAAAATGGATAAGAAGGAGTATGTGAAATAGCTGTTTACAGTCGGTCAGTCTTTGCTAGTGTTTTTAATGAAGGGCTTATATATATTGATAGAAGTTACAGTTCTTTCTTTGGTACCAGCCGTGCAATTTTCGTGCTTTCCCGTTTGAAATTCATTGCAAACATTCCATAGAGAAACCTTCTTTGTTAAAATGAGAGCTTCTGTTGGAGGTAATAGGAGGGGGTCTCTCAGACTTTCTCGATCACTCTATCTTCGAGTAAATAGTCTTCCCCTTTCTAACCCGTAAAGCTATATTGTTCTGCGCGCCGGCGCACAACAGGGTAGTGTTGACTCAGCGGTTCCGTTACAATCGTGACAAAAATGAGCTTTATTCATTAGCCTCAGGCCTGGCCTTTCCCTTGCGTTATATAGACCCTTTTTCACTCCATCGGCTCAGGTAGAGGGAAATTTCAGCTTACATCTGTGATACCCTTTCCCACAGAAATAAGCTCGAAGGGCCTCAGCAAGTAATTGTTGTTTTCTTGATCAGCAGAAAAAAAGCCCGATGCCACAGTAACTAATCACATTTTCTTGTACTTTCTTGAGATTGCAGCTCTCTGCTGCTTTTGCCTTGCAAGCTTTGCTTCAGATACTTAGTAGCATCTTGCTCGACAATTAAAAGCAACCAATGTCCTGCATCAAAGCTAAAGTTAACCCGC